CTGAAAGCATGTGGTATTTTCTAAATTTTGAGACCAAGATCACCTGTCTACAACAAACCATTAGCGAGATATGCGAGTTTAAATTGTTTACTTTGACTCCCCTCCCCCTCCCCCCGGGATTGTCCGATTTCAAAAATCGACAGTGTTTTGGACTCGAGAAGTAATCCTCTATCAACTCTGAAAATATTTCGAAGATCAGGCCAAGGTTGAAAAAAGGCAAAGCTTTGTTTACAGTCCGAAGAGCCAAAATCGTGAATTCTGACATTGAATGAGCGAAAATGTCTGTGTGTGTTTCATGTGCGTCTGTGTTAGTGACTACGCGCTCACAGCGGAACGAGTGCGTCTTCATGGGACTGTTATCAGGCAACGCGCCGCGCCGCTCCGTCGCTAAATAGTCACCAGAGACTCTGCGCAAAACTAAATTCGTCGATAGTACATCTTGGTTAGAAATGGATTTCAGAACCCTTCGTTGCGCGAAGCGTATTCTACGTGAAATTTTGGTCATGATATACATGTATCAGAATGCCTTAATTCATACCATGTCTACTGGTCCATTGGAAACCAAAGATTTGCCTTCAATTAGCCGGCTAGGCAAAATTCCTGTCGTGACGCTTGTATAGTGGTATCATAATTTTGCATTGAGATTACACAGCGTCTTGAATAAGGCGCTCCTCTTTATCCTATCTTTGTGGCTTTTTCTTCAGTATGAAACAGTGGTTAACTCGAATTCGGTGCTTCGGCTCAGCTGTTGCCCGTCTTCGACACTTCAACACCACAAAGCGGGGAAGGAACATTGCTCAATTTGCCGAGCCTGCCAAAACCGCTGAAGTGCGGAATCAGATTCACGTGGGCTATAGTTTCATTTGTGAGCGGGAAATTCAAAGTTCCTTTAAACAGTGTATAATGAAAACGTTATTATCTTAATTTGACCGAGCTTATCAGAAGGGAACCAACCCTTATTTTAGAAAAAATTGAGTTGAGAATGTTTTTGAGTTCCTTTGGTCGTCTATTTTCTCCAGCCAAAATCTAAAAGTCGAAAAAAAGGATTCAGTTCGTGAAAAGAGGGGCTAAAGTTTATTTTCCGAATTGAGCCTTGTGCAGGAATAAAACTTCAAGCCTCTTTTTCTGAGTTTCAACTTAATATGGGTTGGTTC